GCAGGTTTCGTGGCAGGCGCAGGAGTTTTTGATGTGGAAGTGTAGGTGTAGTACTTTGTGGCTGTTGAACTGCAGATAGACAGATAGAAAGATAGAAAGATAAATGGATCGATAGATACATAGATAGATAGAGGAGGCATATTTGCTTGGTTAGAAATTTTATACCGGGGAGTTCACCTTAAAATATTGATTTCGTGGCAGGCGCGGGTGTCGGGGATGAAGTGCAGATTTCGTGGCGCGGGGGGGGTTGGGGGGGGCGCAGCACCCCCCCCAGCAGCACACCAGATCCAAAGGTGAGCAGCTCGTGCTTGCTTGCTTGCTTGCTTCCTTGCTTGCTTGCTTCCTTGTTTGCTTTGCAAAACACATATCGAATCCACGAAGGACCAGAGGACCAAGGGACTAGCGGACCAGTGGACCGAGTATATATTTTTTTTGTCGGTGACCGGAGACCTCACCGGAGACCGGGCCGGGCCGTTGACCGGACCAGTGACCGGGCCGGAGACCGGGCCGGAGACCGGACCGAGTGACCGGGCCGGAGAGCCGTGACCGGGCCGGGGACCGGGCCGGAGACCGGGCCGGAGACCGGGCCGGAGACCGGGCCGGCACGGGACCGGTGACCAGGCCGAAGACCGGCGACCGAGAAGGAAGTGGTCACTCCAACTTGACTTACTCTTTTGTGGGCAATGCAGGGGTAAAATTTAGAGAAGGATGTCGCCTTTCCAACTTGACTCACCCCTTTATGCGGGCAACGCAGTGGGAAAATTTGGACAAGGAAGTGGCCCTTCCAACTTCACTCACCCTTTTGTAGGGGTTTAACTTATAGAAGGATGTTGCCCAAGTTGACTCACCCTTTGGTGGGCCATGCAGGGGTAAAATTTAGAAAAGGAGGTTGCCATTTCAACTTGACTTACCCCTTTGTCACCCTTTTGTGGGCAATGCAGGGGTAAAATTTAAAGAAGGATGTTGCCATTTCAACTTGACTCACCCTTCTGTGGGCAAGGCAGGGGTAAAATTTAAAGAAGGAAGTGGCCCTCAACTTGACCCACCCTTTTGTGGGCCATGCAAGGGCAACGCAGGGGTAGAATTTAGAGAAGGATGTTGCCTTTTCAACTTGACTCACCCCTTTGTGTGGGCAATGCAGGGGTAAATTTACAGAAGGAAAATTTAGAGAAGGAAGTTACCCTTCCAAGTTGACGCGCCCTTTGGTGAGCCACCCGAGGATAAAATTTAGAGAAGGATGTTGCCACTTCAACTTGACTCACCCTTTATGTGGGCAAAGCAGGGGTAAAATTTAGACAAGGAAGTGGCCCTTCCAACTTGATTCACCCTTTTGTGGGCCATGCAGGGGTAAAATTTAGAGAAGGATGTTGCCCAAGTTGTGTCACCCTTTAGTGGGCCATGTAGGGGTAAAATTTAGAGAAGGAGGTTGCCATTTCAACTTGACTTACCCCTTTGCGTGGGCAATGCAGGGGTAAATTTTAGAGAAAGGAGTGGTCATTCCAACTTCACTCACCCTTTTGTGGGCAATGCAAGGGTAAAGTTTTAAGAAAGATGTTGCATGGATAAAAAACAATTGTTGACTGGTTGCAGGTCCGGTGGCCGGCGTTGGGGGGGCGGTGACCGGGCCGGAGACCGGGCCGGTGACCGGTGATTGGGCCGTTGACCGGGCCGGAGACCGGGCTGGAGACCGGGCCGCAGACCGGACCGGTGACCGGGCCGGTGACCGGTGACCGGGCCGGTGACCGGACCGGTGACCGGAAAACAAAAAAAGTATATTATGAGTGGACCAGCGGACTGCAGGGGACCAGCGGACCAGGGGACCAGCGGACCAGAGGACCAGGGGACCAGCGGACCAGAGGACCAGCGGACCAGCCAGAGGACCGGCCACCTACACGACTGGGAATTCCAAGGGATTTCATCGCACAACGAATATGTTTTTATTGATTCAGTAAATATTGTGTTTTTGATTCGGTAAATATTTTTTTTTGATTCGATAAATATTTTTTTTTGATACCTATGCCGCCAAGAGGCAGGTTGGCATCTGGGAAGATGTAGTACCCTTCAGCGTTGGTGAAGTTCCTGAGCGTTGGTGAAGCAACTGGGACGACGGTAGGGACGGACAGGTGATTTGGGTTCAGTCCTCAAGACCAGACGACTGGGACAACACCCTTCCTCTTCCCATGCATCCGTGTCTGTTTGAGCTTGCCATTGGCGTTGTTGTACGACTCGAAGGACAACCCTGCAACGATCAGGCTGCATGATGTTCTCTCGTAAAGCCTCACTCCAACTCTTGACTCCGCTTTGTTCAGCCAACACCAGATGCAAAGATACCCATGGCCCATGGGCCATTCAATACCCAATATATACCCAATACCAGATATCAACCATGGGTATCTGGTATCTGGTATTGGAGCCAACTCAATACCAGATACCCCTGGGCCAATAACAGCCAGGCGTCGTGTACAATCCATTGTTGTCAGGCTGGCACTCGGCTCCAAAAGGGCAGTTGATGCAAGAAACACTTCCTGCTCCCACAACACCCATGACAACACTGTCAGGATGTGGATCACACAAAGGCAAGATGGGAGTTTGATTTGGAACGTGGTCTTCTGATGTCTTTCTGCGCATTCAGTTCTGAGAGACAACAGGAAGTATACAGTAGACGCAAAAGCTCGTTCCGAAACTCTGGAGACCAGGCAACAGCAGGCACAACCATTTCTACGTGTCCAGGAGCCCCACCAGAACACAGTAAGAACTGAAGGCTCGCTGTCATGACGCTCGATTTCTCAATGGGCACTGCGAGAAGCACCAGTCTCTGGCACTCGAGGGTCCTTCTGGTGCCCAGCGTGCCAGTTCGTCATTGAGGACATCAAAGGTTTCGGAGCACGGCGTGCAGCGGTGCGAGCCGCTGCCAGCACTGAAAGTGCCAGCTGGGCATGGAAGGCAGCTGTTTTGTCCTGTCAACCACTCGAAGCATAGACCAGATTGAAAAATGGAACGTCACGGCGGCAGTCCTTGTTGACTTTGAAAGAACCCGGCACTGCAGGGCGAGCAAGATGAAGACCCCGGCTGCTCACTGAAGTACCCCGCCTGGCGCAAGTGCGACCACGCTGGGAGCTCCAAGGATCTGATGGGCTCTATTCGAGTCGAGTGGAGAGTTTTGAGTTTCGATTTTAGGGATCAGCTGCTTCAGCTGCTTTAGCTGATCTTCCCAGGCCTGGCAAGGCCTGCAGTTCCCTTGCCAACTCTCGGTGCCAGGAGGGCAAATGAGACAAATCCGCCTGTGGGCTCTTGAATCCTCAGCGGAAGCTGCCGACATCGAACAGTCGACAAGTCGACAAAACACGGCTCGTGGTGCTGATCAGATGCAGATCAGTTGCCCATGACCCAAAAACCCTCGCACCTGGCATGGAGACATTTTGAAGGTCTCCATATTCCTGGACCTACAATATTCCCAGCCAACTCAGAATGTTCCAAATGGAATCTTGAGAGGTGTCGACCCGTCCAAAGAACGGCAGCGACGCCGCGTTCCAAGAACTTAAAACAGCATGTTTGGACTGGAAAGAAAGAAACATCCACCGAGACCATCCAAAATCGACTATTGGAATTAATGTTAACAAAAATGTGCGCACAGCCAGCTGACAGCGCCTGCACCAGCACCCAGCACTGGCACCAGCATTGGCGCACCGACCGCGCGCACAGCTGTCGCTCATTAGTAAGAACCCTAGACTCTAGACTCCAGGCCAGGAATCCTCGACCTCCGGGAATCCACCTGCCCAAAAACAAAAAACCGGTCCACTGGTCCTCCTCTTCCCCCACCGCTTCGACCGGGTCCCAGGAGCCCAGGTGGAGCTGGAGAACTCGGAGCAGGGCACGCACTCATCGCGCCCGGTCTCGTTGTTCCGGGAGAGGCCTGGGGGCGGTGTCCGACCGGTGGGTCCACACCGGCGGTAAGAGCGTGCCACCGGCCACGCGGTGGACACTGCGTTTGGATGGGGGTGGCACCAGAGTCTGGTTGGAAAAACAGCACCCGAAAGGATGAAGATCCCCCAACATCCCCTCCCCTGAGGCTGTGGCATCCATCCCTAGCAAGGGAGAGGCTGCCAAGCCTTTGGAAGACTCGAGTGCTGCTCCCACTGACCACCACATCGGTGTCACCCAAGGATGATCTGTAGAACATCCCCGTGTTCCCTCGATCTCTGCCGTGCGACCATACGCCAGGCCGTCTGCAGCAGGCAAGAACTGGTTGTAGCAGGTGCTCATTCGCCAGCTCATCCTTTGAAGGTCTCGTGTGAGGGACTGCGACGACCGTGACATGCAGATCTCTTTGAAAGGCTGGTCCGAGAACCAGAAATGGTTCTGAAAACATGCCGGTCCTGATTCTTTAGAATCATTGATCCGCACCATTTACAGAAACTATGGAGACTATGCAGGGGAAACTGAAAGATGGGCCTATGAGATCGTATGAAGTGCGTGTGACATCACCGGAAAATACGAAGGACTCGAGTCTCCCGTTGACATGATCCGTGAAACGGTGGGCGAACCAACCGGCCAGGTCTCTTGGGATAGGCCAGTGGCTCTCGCCGTCGTGCCACTCCAACCTGGCCCAAAGGTCCAAATAGCTTCGGCTTCGGCTGCTCACAAGTACAAACTGGTTGGTTTTGGAAGGCAGCTTTGGCTCTGCAATGAAACTCATGTAAACTGGTCCATGTCTTCAACTCCTCTTTGGCGCCCAGGCAGGAGCTGCTGGAGTGAGGTATTTCATGGCAAAGCGGAGTCCGTATACTCCTGGATCAGGAACTGATCGGCTTCGAAAAAGTGTTCTGCAAACGGAGGGTCACATTCTTTCCATGACACTGTGGTCTAGAAGCCGATAGACCAGAAAAGCATTAGTCTGTGTCCAAAAGAGCACCAAGGATTTTTTTTCTCCAACAAACTGACTCCAAGACGAAGTGCAGTAAGGGCGGACAAATGGGGCAAGTGGCGAAGTCTCTATTCACATCAAGTTTGGGAGAAGAATACTTCCTAAAACATTCTAAAACTATCCATAATGCTGGGGTTTGCAATTGTGGGGTTCTTGTGCAAGAATACGATTTGGACTTTGTTTCAAGATTGCAAATCTGTCCTGGCAGCCAATGAAAGGTGGTTCCCAGCTGCATGGTCGATGTAAGTTGAACCCGATGGCCTCGCAGTCGACTCTGACACAACCAAGAAACAACTGCAAACCTCCAGAACACCAGACTTCACCTCCAGACTCGTCACTGTCAGCTTGCCGGGACAAATGAGGGATCCAAGCTCCGCAAAACTGGCCACTTGGCCGTTCAGGGCGCAAAAGCCACACATGTTCTTCTGAAGAATGCATCACTTGAGGAGATCGCAATTCACCGGCCACGTTCCGCCTGTCGCATCAAAGACTACCTCGCCCAGCACTGGATCCAACACCTTGCACCAACCGCTGCAATGCCGCTGCAATGCCGCAGCTCTCGTTTTCGGTCGTGATTCAACAGCCCCGTTGTTTGGATTGAACGGGCCTGTTTCAGACCGTACCCAAGTGATCAGACGCGCCTGCAAGCTCGCCAGCGCTTCTGCAACGGCCTCCCAGTGATGCCAGTGACAAGGATCCCGCTCCCAAGGGCCAAAAGGGATGTTAAAAGGGAAAGGTGTGCTCAACAGTCTTGCTCCGAAGCGTGTCTGAACATCAATCGATTGCGGACGGCCGCGGCCGGGCGCACTACAGCAAGTCTCGTGCGTACAGCTCTACAGCGCTCCGCCAGCCTGAGGGTTGGTGGAGTTGGCCTCTTGGACTGCCTCAAAGGACAAGGACCGCCAGAAGAAGCCACACGGCAACGAGGTGGGTCACCGGCGCAGGTCAGAACCGACCCGGGGTCGGTTGCAACCAACCCTGACGGCTCGTGGTTCTCCGCACTCCCCCGGACCCCACGAAGGACTTGTTGGCCCGCTTTGGACCACGGGGCCCCGTTTCGACCAACCGCGCGGGGCGGCCGGCCTTCAAGAGAATGGCGGCGGCTGCGGACGCGGCGGCGGACTCTGGACGCGCATGGGTCCGCACCAAGTAGTATTGGAGGTACATGAAGGCTGGCAGGGCGAGGCTGGTACTTCCAGACGGTCAGAAAATCAAGGGTCAGATGGCCTGAGGAAGCTCTATGTCTATTGGGCATCGGAACGAGCAAGTCTAGTAACACTTGACATTATTGGGTCGTCTTGCATAGAAATCAGAACGATTAGCCGCTCAGTGGTGGAAAACCTGGCGCTGCAGTAAACAATACATGTTGCGTGGCACTCTTCAACTTGCCTAACTAAAGAGATAGGCAAGCATGAAGTTTATAGATGTTCCGCATGTCTGAGACACTTGGCACTACGTTCTATGCTTGCAAAGTGCCTACAGGCGAGTTACACGTAAATGGTTGGTTCAGTCAAGCGACGTCTTTCGCAGAACAAGCAACAAGACTCACAAGGTCGTAGTTCCTTGCTTGGCGTCTCTTTCGATTCATCCCTCCCCCGGAGATCCGCACCTGCAGCACCTGGAGTGCTCCGGTCCCAGTCAGACACCACAAGACAATCCTGCGGAGTCTGTTCGGCCGAAAGCTCCCCAAACGCGCCTCGACCCCTGCGTGGAGAAGGGCATCAACATCAATTCTGTTCATCTCATCTTCCCTTTACCAGCCATCCTTTCGGAGCCGTCAGTGGGGGCCATCCTATCGGAGTGATTTAGCTGCAGCTCTGGCAGCGGCTGAAGACAGCGGCCCATCGTTTCCAACGTTCTGGAAGAAAGGCCATCTGCTCGAAAAGGAAGGCCCCTCTGTGTCCAACAGAATGCACGAATGAAGATGTGTCATTCTGAAGAGCACAGCTTGGCTTAGCCCTGCCTTGAGCAGCTCCATCGTCTCCGAAGACCAATCAGAGGAATATCCTCAAGGCCGATCTTTTTTCGGGGAGAGCCATGGTCGAGCGGCCAACCTGACCCCGCCTCACTCTGTTCAAATTGTTACCAAAAAAGAATATCAAAACAATCACATCCAGTTTGAGACAAGAATCTTTACAACCTTTTGCTTTCAGCAGAGTCAAAGCTATCTAAAGCACATTTGGGGAGTGGACCGTATCCAGGCATGAGGGTTGCACTAAAGAAAATAGGAGGACTCTAGATAGCAATTTATCAGAAGGGAGTCATGAAGGCAAAGTGATGTGGATTCTTAGGATACATCACAGCACCATTCATCATCATCCACACACATACAGGAGTCATGGGAACAACATCTTCTGGGTCTTTCTGCAGCTGTCTCGGCCAATCTGATCGACTGCAGCTGTCTGATGGAGCGACGCGATCCCTTTCCATTCACATCCCCCGTGCGGCCCAGTCTCCAGCCATGTTCAAATACGTAGGGAACTTCCAAAGATCCAGGGCGGCCTGGCAACCACGGGGGCGCCCAGGTTGGCTGAGGTTGGCTGAGGTTCGTGGCCATCTCAGTACATCTCGATGAATCACATCACATTTCACTTCACATCTCAGAGTCGCTGTGGCATCGCGGCATCGCTCGCTCCGTCGTTGGGCACACCCCGAGTGGTCGCACCGGGAAGGCTACTGGTTCGCACCGCGACGTTGGCACGGCGACTTGGCACACGGGTCTCCTGAGTCTGGACGGTACCCATGATCTGCAGCTGCTCGAGCCTTAGTAAGGTGCATCGCATCGCTACTAGCTACGAACGGAGCAAAGGGCATCGCTACTAGGAGCAAGTGCATCGCTACTAGTAGCTCCACCCATGAAAAAAGAAGGAAAAAAACGCTGCTGGAACACTGCTTGAGTAATTTCACCTTCTTCAGTTTGCCTTCTTGCACGCGTGCGATCTTTGAGCCAGACGCAAAAGAGAATGTAGGTGGCAAATTGAAAGGAAGAGAAGGTGGCATCCCTTGGACCGTTTTCCCCCCCTCTAATGGTTCCTTCGTTGGAACCATGTGTGGTCCATGTGTTCGTTGGTCCGTCTAATGACGAGATCCCTCCACCCAAGAGCCCAGCTGCAAAAGGGTCAGCTACCCAGGGAGGCTGAAGAAAGAATGAATTGAGCCGTCCAAATGGTGAGGTCATGCTGCATGATGTTGCAGCAGTTGTATGATGTGTTCCACCGGGAACCCTTCGACTGCGACCTGTGCCTGGGGAGACTTCCTGGCTAAGCCTGGACACGTCCTGCCCGGATGTAAGGGACTGCCCGGATGAAGCCCAAGCTGCTGTGCTGACTTTCGCGCTCTTCTTCATTGCAGAAGAGCGAAGATGCATTGAAGAAAAAGCTCTATCAGGATGTTTGGCTTCTCTGCGGTTCGCAGCCATCAGGCCAAAACCGTGGTAGTTCTATGCAAATTCATATACTTATAGCCTTCTAGCGGATACAAGAAACATGCCAAGACATACATACATAAACTGTCATGAATCATACATTGTAGTGAGAAGCCGCCGCCACACGCACATCATTCCTCTTCCATGCAAGGCAGGAGAGTGCACAGATTTGAGGGCTAGAAAACAAAAAACACAGTGGTCGACGTGTGTTTCAGCACAATTGTCGACGTTTTAACATTGCGCTGTCTGTTCAGGTTTGCCTATGTAGCCTGCAAGTGAATGTCTGCTGTGGTCTAGTCTGGTTTCACTTTACTTGACGAGGTCTAAGCATACACACTAGCTCAGGGGTGCCTGTGCAGGCCAACACAACAACATATGAAGCTGGACGGCTTTCTTCAAAACCGGTCCCTTGCTCAAACCCTTGCATTCCCAAGCAGCAAAAAGGTATTCACGTCATTGTTGTTCACCAAGTTTGCAGCAGCAAAATTCCTGGCACTGAAACAGTTTGGACACGAAGTATACTCGTACTGACATCACTGGCATCCGCCAGTACCCCACAGTGTCTCTTGGTGTCTAGACCCGGGAGACCCCCTGGCCCGGTAGGGTAGCTGGTCCGTTTCCCTGGCAGCTCTCTCTCGGTCCAAGGTGCAAAGGACCGGTCAAAAGGTCATCGTCGAAAATGATGAACGCCTTTCGTCAACGAGTTTTGGCGTCGTGTTTGTGTATATAGACAGCAGCTCGAAGAATGTTTTGGAAAAGTGCCCAAAAGGTCATTCAGGTCATTCTTCCTTTACAGTTCTCTCCCTAAGTTACATTGCAAGCTAGTCCCCATTTCACAACATTTCAGTCCGGCAAAAGGCATGTATCCTACTGGCACCGAGGAGCTTTCGCGTCGTAGTCCTTGTGATAAGTAGTGTTCCTCCGCGTCCAGATGACAAAGCACAAAGCATGCATTGCTTCATCTTTTTTATGATTTCGAACCATGAAGGCGAACGATGAAGGCGTAGATCACAGAACCTCCTTTTCCATTCCGTTGGACTTCTGCAAGAAGGCGTAGGATTCTCACTCGATCTTTCCAAACAAAAAGAACGCCAGAGAGGCAGTTCGGTATCTTCGCCCACCGTTCGGTATCACCCCTTTCTTCAAACAGTCCCCATGCTGAAGAATTATCTTGTTACCGAAAGAAGACTTCTGTTTTGCCCAACAGTCTTGGCACTATCTCAAATGAACAAGCCGACACAGTCCCCTTCTTGAAACAAGGTATCTTGGATAGTCTCGGACTCTTCACCAAGACTCAAAACTGCCGTCGCACAAGTCACAGAGGATTCGCAGCACACAATCCTCGGTGGTGCGTCAAACCGGTCAGCACACATGACATGCCACTGGAGGAGACCAGTGTCACGTGACCGGAGGTGCTGTTTTGCAGGTTCAAAGAGGCCTCTCCATTCACCGGAGAGAGTCTTCTCAGCCCTCCAAGTCCGAGCAAAGGAAACCAACAGCGGACAGCACAGTGAAGATGGAATCACAACAGAACCATTGCAGCGTGGGTGATCGAAAATTTGAGAAGTTGCCATTCAATTAAAAAACTTCGACCCCTTTCAACGCCCAGGTGGCTCGTGTTGACAGTCATAGGGTGGCTCGTGTTGACCCCCACCGTTCCCCCCACGACTAGGTCGCTGTTCTCGACTCTCCTCTTCCTTGTCGAATCTTCCGGCGTCAGAAATGCTTTAGGTCCCCGTGAGCGTCACTTTGCAGTCACTTGATGGCAGTTGTCTCTTAAGGAGAAAAAAGGGCCCAAAACGGAACGCCCATCGGCTGGTGGGTTCCCTCTCGGCAGCCCCCCGGCGTCCGGGTCAGGTCGTCGCCCCAAGCAACACATCGGGTCGCGGAGTCAGAAGGTGGTCCATGACGTCGGCCACGTGCGCCGTGGTCCTCGGAGTGGGAGCGATGCCGGGGTACGGTCGCCGGAGCGCACGGGTTGGGACCCGGGTCCGGGTCCGGGTAGATCTCTTTTTTGGGGGCCAAAATGGGGCACTGGACGATCTCTACAGCACAAGGCAGTATTCTACTAAGCTTGAGTCCAGTGTTTGTGCAACTCAAACTGGCTCAAACGTCAACATGTTTCGCGGTGAGCAGCTGTCAAACAAGTTGGTTGCCCACAAAAACGCCCGTTGCTTGCTGCAAGCCACCTTCAAAAGTCAGAGCACGTAGGGTTCCGTTTTCCAGTGACTGCCGCGTCTTGAGGACCAAGTGGCAAGTTCTCCAAGATTTCGCTGCGAAGAAAGACCAGCCCAGTGATGCCAGCAGTCTGCGGAACGGTTTCACAAGTCCTTAGTCGATAGCTTGAGAGTATGCTCTGTTACATCAATGGGCCTCAAAACCAAGACTAGATCAGCTTACGCTGTGCGATTCTTTGTGCAAGGCCCAAACATGTTTGAACTGATTCCGAGGTGGAATGTTTGTCAACAGTGCAGCAAGCGTCGACTTCTATCAAGTCAGTCTTTATGATGTCCAAGTAAAGGGCTGAACCTCCCACACCCATCCCACACTGGAGGGGGTGGGCGGGAGTCCTGGAAGTCCAACGTCGGTGTGTATAGTGGTGGAAACTGCACGGTCCCAGGCACTTGAAATTGGACACCAGGAACTCCGCTTGTGCGCGAGCCCAGCTCGGGGTGATGACGCTCACTGTGGCAGCGCCTCACGTCGTTCACGCGGACGAGAAGGGACGAGAAGGGACGAGAAGGGAGAAAGAGATTGGGTGGTCGTAGACCTGGAGGGGTGGTGGTCACACCTAAAACTATTTAGAGGTTCTGCCGTGTGTGTGTGTGTGTAGTCTTGCTCTGCCACAGCCTGGGTTCATAGCAATGAATGGCTGGAGGCAGTGTTCCAGGCGCAAAGCGCCCAACGAAAAAGAAAACGCCAAAGGCAGACAGTGGTCTATCCGTAGATTTCAATGTCCAGCAAAAAAACCTGCGAAGGCAAAGTGACTGCTGCAGCGAAGACAGCAAAACCATGTCAACTCATGCTTCCGTCAAGCGGACAAGCCAACAGAAGGAACATCACAGCCGGGTGCGGAAGGGGCGATGAGGCGCCTCAGGAACCGCAAAGCACTCCGCTGCCTATCAAGCGCTGAAGCAGACCAGGCCACTGCAGCATCAAAGGTAAATTTCCAATCAAGAAGCTCGTGCACAGACCGAGCGGCCTGTTCCTGAGCTTTGGCGTCGGCGCGCTTGTTGAGGAGTCTCCAAGTCTCAGCCATGTGGCCAGCAAGGGACGGGGTCCAATCAAGAAGCTTATCGTGCGAAGGCACCCACGCAATTTCGTGGGTGGAGCAAACTAAGCTTAAGGCCTTCCACAGGCCCGGCGCCCACTGAGGCAAATATCCCGTCGTTTGGATTTGCTTCACACGTCTGACGACTGCAAGGTTATCGCAAACCAACAGAAGATCTACGCGCAAATGAGTCGCAGCAATGAAAGCTTTCAAAACAGCAACCGATTCAGCGCCAAAAATGTTTTGATCCAGTCCCTGGAGACGGGCAGCAAAAACCCGGTCGGTTGTTGCGACACTCCAAGCAGCCCTGCGCAGATTCTGGACCTTTTGAGAACTACCATCGGAAGCTACCAAAAGTACCTGGTCGGCCGTGGCAGTCCTACGAAAAAGATCACACAAATTCGGATCCGGTCGCAAAAACTGGCTACACCTTTCATCAGGTATGGGAGGAAGTTGGATGCTAGGAACGAGCAAACGTTCCTCAGCTTTGCGTGTAGGCCGAGAAGCCTCAGGCAACCCTGGGCAAGAAGGACAATGCCACGTGACATGTGTGCGTGAAGGCCATTCCCTCCCGCATGCACAATTGAAGGACTCAAGCTCATGCTGCTTGGCGAGTTTACGACTATCTTTGCCAGCGCCGACCGCAATGCAGAAGGACTCCCAATCAGAGACGCCCTGACGCATCCAAGCTGAATGCGCCTGGTAGACTGGCAAAACACGTTGACAAACCTCCGCGTCATCTGCGCGCGGGGCTCGTTTCTCCAAAGGTACGCCAGCCATGCGTGTCTCATGGCCTCTTTGATTGCCGGCAACCCGTCAAATGCCAAATCAAGGTCCCCCTGCGGGGTGCGGAAACGACTCTGCGAGATGTGCTGCCACTGCCACTTGTTCAAAACTTCTGCCAATCGGTAAGAGGTCGAAGGTTGGGGCATAGCGGCACACACCTGCTCGATGTCGAGCAGGGAACGGCAACTTGAGACAGCACGTCTGACTTTCCAAAGCTCATGAAAGACTACCCGCCTGTCCAACGCGAATTCAGGACAAAGATCCGGACCTAAATACTGCCAAAGCAGAAAACGAGACCTGCCCGGCACGGCACGGCCGATGATGGTTTGCTCAATGGTGTTACGCCACTGATTCAAGAGCTTTTTGGACACAGTTGTCCACGGCCCCGAATGAGCAAACAAAGACAACACCAAACTGCGCGTGAGCTTGCGTTTGTTTCTCTGGTTGCTGGTTGCGGTCCGAAGTCTCTGGCCGTTTCTCCAGTTTCTCTGGCCAAGTTTCATCAGCAGAACCGCGTCTCTAATTCCCACTCTACCTTCCAACTTCAAGGGCTTGCACTTAATGCTGTCTGTCCTTCCCCCGCTTGTGCTTTGCATACGCTTCTGCTTGTTCTCAAAGGCTTGTTCAACTTGTTCACATGTTTATTTTCACAAATGTTTCTTGAAATTCTTGAGTGTCAATCCCTGCTCTGGGCTTCGCAGGTATTCTTTTCTTATCGCCCAGACTTGCAATCCCCTCTGTGAGCCCTCATAAAGCCTCGCAGCCTCGCTGCCCCACCTTGTTGCGCGATGAGTTCAAAGGGCGCCAGTAGCATCTCAGAGTAGGGACCTCACTCCCAGCGACCGAACCCGCCCAACCCGCCCAACCTGGCCAGCCTGGCCTCCGCGGCGCGACGCGCCTGTTCCGGACGTCTCCGCGAAGCGCGGGTTTCCACGTCGCGTGCGCCCCAGTTGCACGTCTCGCTGGCGCCCGTTGCGCCCCGGGTCGGGTCGAAAACGCGTTCGGATGCTGAGCGGAGCGGCGTGTCATGGAGAAGACGGTGCTGCGATGGGCGACGCTGGCGTTCACCTTGCTCAAGGGCCCCATGAGCACCACCTGAGGGCGAGTGGACCGGGTGAGGGGGGGAGTGGAAGAGGGGGGACGAGGGGAGTGCATTTGATATGACCCAGGGTGGTGACTTGTCACACACTAAAGTAGCTCCTCGCAACTTGGTAGGTGCTTGATGGGTAAATCCACCCTCTAAACATCGTTTTAAACGAGGAAGAGTCTTGGTGGTTGCTTTGACCACCAAGTGACAGTGAGCCCACTGAAAACAATGGTATCTTCCATTTGTACTGCCCGGTTGATAGTGGTACAAGGGTCGGTCAAGCCAGGCGAATCGCCAAGTAACTCAACCTGTCAAGCCATGACTTCAACCAACCCTTCTGTCAAACCGGCCCACAGGAAAAATATTCGGTGGAACAAGTCGAGACGATTGTGAGTCCTCTTGGATAAATCTCTCTTGCACCTCTTCCCGTTCCAGCCTGATCGGCATCCGCCACTGCAGCCTCGGGGACACTTTCGGTCTGCAAGTCAGTGCAACAAAAAATGCTTGCAATGATCCAATGTCGCAAAAGCTTTGGCCAATGTAGATAGGTCTCTCTTCTCTACATCAGCGCTATGGGTGCTTAGCAATATCTACATGTGCTCCCAAACTTCCCATGTACCCACCTGTTGCAATAGTGGATTGAAACCAGCCAATGAGAAGCATGTTCCATCCCAAGGCCCAAATCACTTTGTGTCCTCATCGGGGTTATCTAGGGTATACAAAATCTGATTCACAGCTTGAAAACGCGCGTTTGTTGAGACGGCCAGGTTCTTCGCACGAGGTCACGCTTCTCCGCCCATGAACCAATTCTACGTACCCCCAAGTCTGTGACACACTCCAATTCTACTAACTGCAGAGAGACGTCGCGAAAAAGACACAAAAAACATCAATAAAAACGTGGGAAAAAAAACGCTGAAAAACATCGAAAAGCAAGAGACAGGGTTCACTCGAATTTCACGCGCATATCGCTTCCCAAGGGACCACCGCTTCGAAGGTGTCGTCGCCCCAAGGCCCGAGCATCAACTTCGTGCCGATCCTGGCGGCGAGAAACGGCCGACCCCTGCAAGTTGGCCACGGAAGAACCTGCGAGGGTGCCCTGCGAGAAATCAAAGGCATGCGGTCCTGGAGGCCAAGGTGCCATGCAAAAAGTTTGTACTAGTAGTTCTATAGGGATTAGGACTCTGGACAAAGCTCCTTGAATCGCAAAAGAAAGAGTCCACAGCAGGTTTCAGACATGCTATTCCCTCCAAAAAGAAATGAAGCAGTTGAAGCATATGGATTTACAGGGCTGCAGAAAACAGAAGGGATCCACCAAGTTGACAAGCTATGTCCAAGTTGAAGAGATTCGTGCTAAGATACCAGATCCATGAACCCAAAGTAACTGAGGACTTGTTCATCCCGCGGAGCGCGCGACTCGCTCGCGCCTGCTGGAGAGAAACGAGGCCCGGCCAGATATATCCTGCTGAAAAGCGCGCACGTGCCGCGGATGAAGCTGGCTGAGACACCCAGGTCACCGGTCACCCTGGATAGACTGGCTTTCCGAACCTTCCACGCAGTCGAACTGGGAGGTCTTCCTTAAATAGACACTCAAATGGCATCACAAATCGTTTTCTCCGTCTACCGCACCAAAAGCTCGCCCACCTGAAGGGTGCCATCCACAGACAAGGCAGTCACTGACAGCTGTCCTGGCTTCGGCAAACAGTTCAGTCGGATTCTCCAGCTCAAAGGGAAGCACTGAATTAGCTTTCATTAGGTCAGCAACATACCTGCAAATACACAGTACATAAATCATAGCGGCCAATTCAACTTCTGTTTCCTGAGAAAAAGGCTGCTCAACTCACAAGGGACATGATCAAGAACACGATTCCTCTTTTGTTGCTTGCTGCAGATTGTGGAGAAGCCGTAGCTCAACGTTTTTTGTAAGCTTTCATCGGTAATTCTGATAGCAACCAATGATCTTGGGAAATTAAAGTTTGGAGTCTGGAACTGTGAATCCCGACCTGGGGTGGACGGGTTGACTCTACTAGGGTCTGAGGCAAATCTTTGCTTTTCACCTCAGGATATATCGCAACCCATCTCGAGGACGACCCGAAAAGGACCCAAGAAGCCTCTGACAGCACTGGCTTGCCCGTTCACTTCAAAGAACATGTTGTAGCCACTCTCGTACCTTAGCGTCAAAGCATGGACCCGCAAGCATGGACCCGCAGGACACTCGATACCCCTTATCCTGGATGCAAGTTTTCCAACACTGAAACCTTGTGGGTGACGACGGTCACGGGCATATCCTAATCAGGTAACCTGAGGTCTTTTGCTCTGCCCTTGGAGAATGGCATGGTCAGCTTGCTGAAAGAAACAAACATCTATTTAGCTGTGTAGATCGTTTTATATGTATATGACATCAACATAAATATTCACTTCCTTCCAAATCCACATGTGACATCGGTACTACGAATTAAGCCCATTGCGGCAAACTGTATCAATTCTCTTTGCTCAGCCACAAAAAATGCTGCACAGTGTCTGTTCCCCAGCCATATTTTGCGTCTGTCCTGCACCGCCAGAGGTGAGGTATAAGCCTGGGTGAATGACGCTGCAAGAACTTCACAGACTTCATGGACACCACCCAGCTTCTGATTGTCACATGGCACATGGATTTTGGGGGAAAAATGCCCAAAGAAACCAAAATGACCCAGGACCTGGTTCCTTTTTCCATTAGTCTATGCTGGTCTCTCTACACATACATATATATATATATATGTATCCCTTATCTGTTGTCTTGTCTTTATCTTTCATATCTGTTGTAGGCTGTTCCTTTTATGTCTTTCTCTCGTAGTTTTACCTTTCATTCGCCTTCCTGCCTTTCCTTTCTTTGCGTCTTTCAGTTCCTTTCCTCCTTTACTTCCACTTCCCTTTTCTGTTCCCTTTTTCTGTTCCTTCCCTTTCCCTTCCCTTTCCCTTTCCCTTTCCCTTTCCCTTCCTTTCCTTCTTTCCTTGTTCGTCTCCCTCGCCTCTCCTTGCCTCTCCTCGCCTCTCCTCGCCTCTCCTCTCCTCTCTCTGTCTGTCCCTCTCCCTCTCCTCTCCTCTCCTCTCTCTGTCTCTCTCTCTCTCTCTCCCCCTCTTGCTCCCTCTTATTTTCCTCTCCGACTCTCCTTATGTATATATATGCACTTGTATGAACCCTTCGCTCCGTACAGGCTGCTTTTTTGTCAAAACAGCCCGTGCCCTATGACTGAAAAGCCCCAGTAGACCTGCAGAGTGCTTCAAGCACTCAAGCCGTTTACCCAAGCTCCTATGGCCCGGGAAGGTCGGGGGCAGGGAAGGTGGGAGCCGACACTTCGCGGGTTCAAAACGTGCGTAACCCTGCTAAAGCAGAAGCTCTATCATCGGGTACTCCCCTCGTCTGCTCGTTTCTACCACGAACCGAGCAAGGACATCTTTGTATTCCTTCCAGGGTACGTGTTTGCGCTGATCCACAAACAAAAAGAGAAAAGTGCGTGTTCGTGGAGCAGATAATGTACACAACAGTTACTGCGGACAGTAGCTGGTCCCAAGTTGACCGAAGAGAATCTCGTAGAACCATTTTGACGTCATCAAAAGTCTCTTTGGACCTGACAACCACATCCTGTGAGACAATCAAGGCGCGCCCCCTTTTATACATCTTTTTCGCTCAAAGCTCTGCGCATCTTCTTTTGAAGACTCATGGTGTGCGTCGACTGGCTGCTGTTTTTGCCGGGTTCTGATCACTCTTCACCCAGCCCAGGACCGGGTAAATTCTTCCAGCCAACTGCAGTGCTCCATATCGTCGAAGAAGTCCATTTAAGATGCAGGACGACGATCGGCCCTTCATGGCCAAAGCGAGCGCAACTGGACTGTCGACTAAGTGCAGAGCTCGACAGAAAACAAACTTTGGAAATTGCAGCCTCCATGTCAAACTCAAGATCAAGGCCTTCAACTCTTGAACATCCTCCTTCTCGGGGGCCAAGAACACGTAACTCTGCCCTTCATGCCAAAGCCACCGGTTCACATCAAACTCGGCGTGGGGGAAGGAGTCTGGCCTGTATAGAGTGCTGAGCTCCAATTGGGTGCTTGAGCCTCTATACTCCCGTTTCTTTACAAGCGCTGACACAAGCTTTGCGCTCAGCCGCCTCTCAGTTTGCAGGAGCTGATCTTCTGTTGACCACGACTTCAGGTTGCTATCCAAGGTTCTTAGTAGAGCTTCAGCTGCTAGCAACTCCACGGCGCTTTCATTCTCCTCCTTGCGGCCCCTGCGGCTTTTCAACGCTTCACTCGGATGCGCGCCTTCATCAACTGCCTCCTCGGCTTCCTGCTCCAGCTTGACCTGCACAAACCGTTTCATCGCCTCTTCAATGTGGTTCTGTGCAATTTGCACTGGTCCTTTGATGCCCTTTAGCCTCATGGCGCCTAGGACTTCATCCAGCAAAACGGCCAAAATGGTAACATGAGACGCATTGCCCAGTGCCGCACACCTCGCGTCCTCAGCCACTTGGTTCTCGTTCAAGGTGGTTGGTGCCTTTTTGAGCAAAGCCAGTGCGTGGTGACGCGAATAGCCCATGAGCACTTCTCTTTCCTCAGCTGGTCGTACCTCAGATACCTGAGTCTCGACCATGAACTCTTGAGCATAGGCGCGAAGAGGGTATCTAAACTCATCTCTTGTCCACCGAGCTTGAGCGCCTGGCAAGGCGGACCGCAGGCCAGTATCGTCATCAGGAGGTTCCTCTCTCTTGATCGGCCTTGTGAACGACTGGAACCTCAAGTTCTCATCCGCCTCTCCTCCCGGCCACTCACATTCTGGCCTCAGCAAGCTGATCAACGGCTCTGTCTCAACCCCCTTGATGATCAACTTGCCAAAAACGTCAATCTTCCAATCGAAATACTTCTGCTCTGGAATGGGTCTCGAAACCCAGTACATTCTTGGGCGACTGGCTCGACTAATGTCACCGCTGTCAACCATGACCGGCTCCACCGACATCTGTTCCAGGTCATCCAAAGCTGTTACAACATTCTCCATTAGCTTTAATGTCCAGATGCCTCTCTCTCTTGCAACCTCATCGACCACCATGAAGACCTTCACGACGTCGGGGAAAAACTTGTGCACTGATTCGCCTGACTCTTCAGGCTGGCCCTGCGCGACACCAAGGCTCTGACAAGGAGGGCACCCTCCAACAATGATTCCTTTGGCATTTGGGCACATCTCAAGTGCCCTCTCCAAAACTTCTCTTCCAAACTCCTTGATGTCGTTGACAATGCGCATGGCCGGGTAGCGCCTCTTCAGCAACCGTCTGCACTCTCTGCTCGCAAAACGGTCGTATCGGTGACCCCGAGCTGGGGCTCACCACCAAGCAAGGCATCAGCTTGCTTCCTATCCGACCATGTCCACCTGGACGCATACATCATACCTCCACCTGTTTCAGACGTGTCCGAGCATGTAACCACAGGATCCAGACGTTGGTCTGAGCCAGAGGGACTTTGTAGCAAGCCCATCGCCCACTTGGTCTCAGCCCTATCGTCCAGGATGCTCAGAAACACACCCTCTAGGTTTGACAACATGCATCTCCTAGCCTGTAGCCTGGAGTAAGTGCACAGCCTGACCAGCCTTGTAAGCCCCGCAGATAGCAACCAAGGCCGATCATATCCAAAGCTTTTTGAGTTGAAAGCCGTAGGACACCATTCTTGTCATGAATGCAGGCATCCAGCTTTCCAACTTCGCTGCATTGGGAAAGGACCTTCTCCTTATCCATCGGGATTCCCGACCAGGCATAGCCTCGCCGAAGTCGTCCTTGAACTTGCCCCGTCTGGCCTTCCAACGACTCCTCAACGGCTCTGTGGATCTGCTCAGGCAACAGGGCATCCAAAGCAAACATTATCCATGGTGGTTCAACTTGTAGGTCAGGGTATGTATCCTCCGATGTGACCTCACCAACTTGTCCAGCCCTGCGCCTTCGAGGGATGGAGCCCGCAGCGACAGCTCCCAAAGTGCAGCCTGCGTAATGCTCCCTGCACTGTGCCACCCCACCGGCAGCACTCGTAGGCCCACCCACAAACGCGAGCTGCCCTTTAACCCGATGTCCTCAGGCATCACTGGCTTCTCAAGCGTCATGTATTCGGGCCAACAGTCCGGGAGCTCGAAAAGGAAGAACGACGAAACGAGATCTTCACCCGACACCAGCAAGTCTTCACCATCGTCATGGATGCACCTTTGAAGACTTGATGCGCCACTCAACTTGTAGCCATCCGCATTGAGCTGCTTCATCGTGAAATTGGTTGCCCTCAAATCGAAGATGATGCGGAGGACAGGGAGCCCACTGTCAGTGAACTCATTTCCTCTTGGCACACCACACGCCCCATTGCTCAGGAAATGCCCTTCGAACTTGGGAGTTTTGTCGACCGCTCGCACCAGGCCCCGCTCAATGAGTGCGTTCACAACCAAAGGCCATTCCTGATCCGAGCAGTAGACTCGGGGCTTCGACGGCATTCCAGGTGGATCTAAACGCAAAAGCTTCTCGGGTTGACAAAGTTGGCAGGCCAAACCTTCTGGGAGCACGTCAACCAACTTCACCATGCCTGTGGGCCCAACATTTGGAAGACCAGGAAGGATCTGGTCCAGGGTGATTGCGTGAGCCTTCTCCACCACTCTGCCATCGCAAGACGTTCTCAACTCATCAATTTTTGTTGCCCAGTCTAGTTCACAGACTCTGGGCACACCTTTTGGGCCCTTCTCGTCGACAAGGACCTCCACCTGCTTCCAGATCTGCATCAATGCCTCCTCTTGGGCCTCGCTGGCCAATGATCCCATTTGGGGCCCGTCTGGATGCCGCCAATTGCCATGCATCACGTTTATGGCTGCCACTGCCAACCCATGCCACAAGCACATACCTTCATGGCGAAGAACTTTGGAAGCTTTGCTACGAGTGTCGCCCCTTTCACGCCAATCTCCAGGGCCTTCCCAGCTAAACTCCAACTTCTCGAACCGCTGAAGGACCTTGACTGCCGAAAACCATTGCGGGAGAGGCAACAAACCACTCGGCGGGCTTGTGCCCTCTCGTGGGGGCTGAATTGACCATGACAGGCAGCCACCAAGCGGGGTCCCACTCTTGAAGACTTGTATAGCCACATCACGAGCCAATTGAGCAGCGCTATAACCACCGGGGTACTCCTCAGCGAAAAAGTCCAACACCTGACCGGCAACTTCATGGAGATCACCTCGTGGCTCGAGTTCCATCCTCCTCCGTTTTCCCTGCTCTTCTGACTCCTGCTCATTGACCAGGTCCGCGGTAGGACGGGTCGGGCCGCAGCCACCTCAGGTGCTTGACGGCCGCCGTTCCCAATGGCAAAGGTCACAAGGGGCTCCTCTTTCTCCAAACCATTGAGGAGGATAGAGGATATCCGCTCAGCTTCAATCCCCTGATCCTCCCCATATTTGACCAGCACTTCGAAGGCTGAACTCATCTTGCCTCCTATGCCACTATCCCTTTGGATCTGTGGCAGCTGGAGAGGAGAACGTCCTCTCTGATCAACAACCCGCGGGGGTCTGTCGATCTGGGAGGCGGTCCACTTTGAAGGGACCTGACGTATCCTCACAACTGAGGTACCTGATTTCCACCCCCGGCCACAACCCCTGGGGGTCTGTGGCCACTGCCGGTGGAAATCCCCACTCCCTGGCCACTGTCTGCTAACTCTATCAGGGGACCTGGGGCTGTCCTCTTAGGAGTCTCAGACCCAGGCCCCCACGCTCCGGCCCTCACTGAGCCGACACTTCGCGGGTTCAAAACGCGCATAACCCTGCTAAAGCAGAAGACATATACATATATATATATATGTGTGTTTTATTGTTTTCTTTCGTTCGCTCTTGATTTCGTTCTTTCTTTCTTTCTGTCTTTCTGTCTTTATTTATTGTTTTCTTTGTGTCTTTCTCTAGTTTTTTTATTTTTTTCTTAGTTCTTTCTTTATTTTTTCTTTTCTTTTCTTTTCTTTTCTCTTTCTTGCTTCCTTGCTTCCTTGCTTCCTTCCTTCCTTCCTTCCTTCCTTGCTTCCTTGCTTCCTTGCTTCCTTGCTTCCTTGCTTCCTTGCTTGCTAGCTTGCTTGCTTGCTTGCTTTCTTGCTTTCTTGCTTTCTTGCTTTCTTGCTTTCTTGCTT